TTGCAAAAGGACTAGCAGCAATGCCTGGAGAAGATGGGTCCCTCCCTGCACGCAGTGCTGTATCTACAGGATGCGCAGACTTGGCCCTGTCTCCACTCCTGCCCAAACCTTCCTCCTTCCAACACACACACACACACACACACACAGAGGGGTATGTCTGAACCCTAAAAATAGAGGGTTTAATTTCTTCATGCCTTTCAATAACATGAGACATTTCCAGCAATGCAGATATGAACTGAAAAATCACAAAAAGGAAAAGCACTGAATGCAAGGATACCAAACTGGCAATGCCTGTGCCAAAGATTCACCCATGACAGCCACCTCACCTCCTGCCCCAGAGAAACAGAGGTGACATGGACAAGCCACCATCCCCTGTGGCTCAGGCCTTCGAGCAGCAGCTCCCAGAGCCGCTGGTGTGAGTGAAGAACCAGCTCCAGTCCAGCCACTGAGTAAACACACTCAGGTCTTCAGTAAATTTGTGTTGATCAAAAAAATACACCCTACTTAACCTATTAACTGCAACAGTGCTGTTTCCCTTGATTTGGATACCCTGGGAATGCGTACAGGCCTTGTTATAAGCAGATGTATGGCAGCCTTAAAACACTTAACACCACCACTTTGAGCTGGAATTTTAAAAGTGACCAGACAACTCTGATTTCTGGGATTCCCAGAGCAGAGCTGATTTTGTTTAGTGGGTAATGTTCTTGCAGGCTTTGAGGTTTATTTTGCAGAAACTGAATGCGCCAAGATATGCACTCCATTTAACATCATTAGATTTGAAAGCTGGGCTCAGTCACTTCACAGCAGTGAAGTAAGAAAAGCTATTTTCCAAGCAAGATTGAAAACAGAATCACTTCACAGCAATAATACGTATCTTTAACATATTACTTCTCTTCCAGCCCACCTCACACCACCCCTTCAGATCTCAAACCCTAATTATCACCAAGAAGAGGTTTTACAAGAGAGTCAATCTTGCGAAAATAAAACTAAAAAACCACAAGTTGAAACATGCGCTTGGATGCAAAGAGTTCAAATTGGAAACTATCCCAGTGATTTTCCAAGGCTAGATCAGTTACAATGGGTGATTAAATACAGGGAAAAAAGCTCCAGCTAATATTCATAAAGTTACTCCTGCTGCTAAAGCTTGCATGTTAAAAAGCTGCAGGGGCTATCAGCATCCCCCTGAGGTGACCGGGTAGTTTAATAACTGAATTAATCCGTGCACTCTTCCTGCATAAACCAAAGTATGGATCTTGATGCAAGGTATCTACAGACAATCTCACAATAAATAGTGACGCTATATTCACATGCAAGTTTTCATCGCTGTTTTTAAACCCAGAGCACTGAATGTGGCTCTGTCTAACCCTGAATACTCAGCTGTTTGCATTAAATGTACTAGATTTAGTCTTCTTGAGCTGCAAAACAAAATTGGGTTGCAACACTGGCATAAAGGTGGTATAGAGCTCCCTCAGGGAAGCTTTAACAGCCTCAAAGAATAGAAAAGATGTCTTTTGTATATAAAAGATGATCACTGAAAGTGACACACCGAGTACTACATATGTGCTCCAAGTGATTAATGACAATCTAATATCCTACAGCTTTACTTGAAGTTCAGAGAGGTCAGCAGAAACGCGCGATGCGTTTTATGCACCAGTGCTCTGCTCTGTATTATTATGCTTTACTATAAACCAGCAATAACCTGCAGAAGTTGGCCATAACTCTTCTGGGATCCTGCCCCACAAATACAATGTGCAGTTCCTATCTGAGCAGCTCGCGCTGCAGGGAAGCTCCATTAGCCTCACTAGATTAGGGATTTCTCTAATGGAACTGACTACTCTGTCTAGTCACCACTAAGCAGATGGAGACAGAAACACATCCTGAGCCCACGCTGCTCCAGCACCCCACCTTCACAGCAGATGGTCTTGAAGAGCAAGAGGCAGCGACTGGACTAGCAGTGAGAAAAAATCCCACTCTGCCAAACCTATCATTTAAACCCCTTCCCTTTCCCAAAACTGCATGAGACATGTATTTAAAAGATTTTTGGGGTTTTTTTTCCAGTTTTTTTCACTACTTCATATTCCTCTCCTTCTCAAAAAGAAATCTCACGATCCCTTCCTTAGATTTGCAGGGAGGAACAAACAGTTTTGGTCTCACACATTCATCAGCATACTCGTTTCCTCTTGCACTGCTCCGTAAAAATCCCCTTGCATCCTTGTGTAACCTCTGTGCATACTGGTAAACTGCTCACAGCCTGGGAAACATCTTCTATTCATTTTTCTTTTCACACCAATAAAAGCTCAAGACTGGAAAACTCTCAGGCCTTGAAACTTCAAGTTTCACTAAGAGACTAACTCTGCTGCTCCATTTGTCCTGACAATACGTGTTGGGATGAAAGGACCAGTCCAAGTTGCAGACCTCTTCGAAAGTAGCAGCTGCAAACCACCCCAGGGCACAGCCTTGCTGGGCGATGAGTGGTTTCGCTCAGCAACATAAACCATGCTGAAGCCAGGTCTGTGTGAGAAACTGGAGGTAAACTGGCACGTAAACCACAAAATGCCTGTCTCAAAGTCACCTCCCCTCTTCAACACCTGCCGACTCCGCTTCAACAATCCTATTATAACATTTTAATCAGAGGCACTCAACACAATGCTGCACATCTCATGGCTTCCCCCCCTCAACACCCTTCCCACCATGGACAAGTTAGTAAGATACAAAAAAGCCAAGAGAAAGGCACCCCGAGCACTTACTTATCCTAGCGATGAGCCATCGGGGTGAGGAGCTGCTGGAGCTGATCTGGTGTTGGTGCCTTACCTCCTGACCGTCCCCAGCACAGCCCTAGTACCTACCCAAGCACCATGCCGAGCAGCATCTCCTCCCCAGACCCCTTCCTCAAGGACCAGGCATGGCTCCCGGCCAGCGGGAAGCCTCCACAGCAGGGAGCAGGACTGTGCTGGGGAAGAAGCGATGGGGCTCCAGCTGTGGGCCGGGCAGCACGTGTGGGGTGCGGGTGGCACCCACCTGGGCTCTGTCCCTGACGAAAGCAGGCGATACTGGTGGACGAGAGCACGGGACCCCACAGCCCTCGGCAACGGACCGACCGTCCTCCTCCTGTGCTAATCCGCGCCGCTGTGCCAGCTTAGGGGATATAATTAGAGTCACAAAGGAGCCTTGTTACCGCTCCCCGCTAAGAGGCCGTAGCAGTTTTGATTAGTCATACCAGCGACTCCACCGTCCAACACCGGTGAACACCGCCTGCGGAGCTCGGCGCAGAAACACTGAGCAAAGCCTGAAAAATGACACCAGAGGACTGCTCCTGAGGGAGGAGAGAGAGGAGGGAGGGGGGATTTTTATTTTTTATTTGAAATGGTGCTTGACATGGCACATGGAAAATACTCTGTGATTAAGCTGCTGAAACTTTTTGTTCAGTTGTTCCATCCTTTCCTTAGCAATCTTCTAAGCAAATACGTGGGTGAACAGCCCAGCCTAGGGCACTACATTGTAAAGAAGTTAATGTCAATGTCACCTGTGAGATGACAAATCTACTCAGGGAGCAAAGCTAAAAGAAAATCTCCAGAACAACCTGAGCTTCTTAAAATCTGATGGGCTGTCAGTAGCATTTGAGAGTTACAGATGTTTTTCCTATACATTAAAATCAACAAATCAGTCTTCTCAGGGAGCAGCGATTCCCCCAGAAGAGAAGCAGCCTGTGACATCCCTAGATGTAAATAACCGCGGTACTCAGAAAGGCATTGCCTATGGAGAAAAGTGGCAGGTACGTCCTTCCATTCCCCAGGGAGGCTGGTGTTACAAATTCTGGGGAATTCTTTCAAAGGACAATTTATTTTAATAACCTTTTGGAAAAAAAATAAGCTTTATTCCATAGCCACACCATTAATCCCCTCGCGCTGGCCAGATTTGCACACGCAAGCTTGCTATGGTTGCTGACCGTCATCACACCTGAGGATGTAAAGGACACAGTAACAGGCAGCATAGAGCTTATTTGGGGGAAAATACAAAAAGATTAGTTCTGCTGTATCCTTAATATACAGCATATATGCAGAGACCAGGTTGTCCTTAGGTTCACTGCCCCATAACACTAAACACACGACTACTATACGTTCTTATTGGTTCTGTGCTGTAACACAGCAGACTGCTTGCCACAAGAAGCTGCACCGCAGCACCCAGCCCACTGACCCACACCTTGTGTGGGGAAAACGAACGGCTTCCCACAGGTCAAAGGAGGACACGCTTATAATCACAGAGGAAATGCTGCAAGTACTGAGGATTTACAGAAATCCCCCAACTTCAGGAAGCAGGAGGAGGCTGGCAAAAGGGTAAGAAGTGGTCTTATTTTATGAAGGCATCGTTGGATCTTAATAAGAACTGTAGTTAGGACAGAATATGGCAAAACCACACAATCACAAAGAAGTCCCACAGCTCCGCTACGGGAACTTGCTGAAGGTTAGGTGGCTATGGCTAAAACTTTCACAGCCAGACAGCAATATTCTATCAAAAAATGACTGCATGTTACATAAAAGTTAAAGAGTATTGATTTCTCACAGATGTTAAAGCAAATATAATGAGGTTTTTATGGAAGTAGTCTGAATAATGGTAACCTAGCATGAGCCCTTGCTACCAACATCAACATGCATGCATGTGTGTGCACATAGAGACTCAGTCCAGAGAAAGAAGACTTTCATTCGATGGGTCACTTTTCTAACATTGTTTCAGAAGGAGTTATTGTTGCATGAATGAGGATGCAAAGTCCAGCTGAGAAATGCTATTCTACACTTGGCAACTTATTTGGCAAAACAGAGAAGTAAAATCAAGTGGAGAAAAGGATTTTTTCCTGCATTTCCACCAGTCCATCTTCACAGAAGAATAAATTGCATAGATTGAGTACTATTAAACCCACTGTCTGAAAAAAGTATTAGAATTACATTAATACTGTGGTAAAAAGAAACAGAGGGAAAACTCATTAAAATGCAACTATCTCCTTAATTTTAAAGAAAATAAATATATGGTTGGGTAACAGGATTTTTAATGTGGCTTTTAAAAGCTTTGTTCAGTCTTAACCCGCAATCAGATACTGGTGAGCTCTTCTGCTAGACCACAGCCAGAAAAGCAAACACATCAAGCCAGCTCATCTTACCTTCCCTGCAAGGACTGTTAGGCATGGCACTACATTTGCTGGAAAACAGCTCTAAACAAACAGTCACCTAATTGCTATGAAAGCATTTATAAAAGACTAGCTGAAATTTTCAAAATATCCCTGAAAGGACTGAGATAATTACTCTGTTTATTTTACACACAGGATCCGAAGATCAGAGAAGGTGGGTAACCAAACGCCATGCAGAAAGATTTCAGTCGACAAAGAATAGAGACTTTTTAGTCAAGTATTTTGAGGGCAAAGACCTCT